AGTCTCGGTAATGTCAAACTTTGGCTCAGGCAAACAGCTTAGAACTGAGAACCACTGAACCCAACCCTAAGTTCAGGTTCAGTTCTGTCCGGTTCTTGATGTCCAAACCCCGGTTTGGGCATTTTTGCTATTGCCCAAACTTGGTTTGAACAGGTTTGAACTGACAAACTTCAACACCACCACCATCACCACCACCACCACCTCCTCCTCCTCCTTACACCACCTCCACCACCTTCTTGCATCACCGCCGCCTCCTCCTCAATGCGTTGCCTGGGTCCTCCCTCAAGTGTCCACCTCTGGAATTACCCCTTGCCCCATGGTTCAAACTGAGTTCAAACCTGGACCAAATATCTGAACCCGGTTCAGTTGGTTAGGTCTAGGTTTGGTCCAGTTTGAGCACTTAAACTGTAGGTTCAGTTCGGGGTTCAGACCAAAGCATCCGAGAACCAAACTGAACTGAAATTTGGCATCCCTAATTACCACATTCCACCTTCCTCCCAAAATGTCACTCACAGGCAAGGATTTGTCTTCAGCAGTGCAAAAAGGCAATTGCGACCCAGAATGGGCCTGGCAGAACCACCTAACTGTCAACCAGCCCCTACCAGACCAGCACATCTTCTCTTATAAGTCTTATAAGTGGAGCAAGGGTCAGCATATTGGCAGACAAAAACCACTAACACAATCCACATTTCTTACAACAATCAATTGCACCGCTGCTGCAGGTTTTTATCTGGTGCCCAGCCACAGCATTCAGATCAGAGCTACATTAAAGTACCTGCTTTGGGGTTTTAGAGGATCTAGCAATACGAGAAGGCTAAATACTAATGTAAGCTAGGTATAACAGTATTTGAATAATGGGTATCTCACCTCAGAGTTCGGTGGAAGCTCTGAGGTGCCCTATCAACAAAAAAAGACACTATATATCTGAAGACGGAACCAAATGAAATATTGGTATCTGATGGTGCACAGGCCACTTTGTATACTAAGCCTGCCTAGTTTGGTGATTGTGCCACTTCTCCTCTTTGTGTGAAGCTTGCTTTTCTTATATTTCCAACATGCATAACCAAGCTCAAATCTTGGCCCCATACATACAGGCCAATTCAGAATTACATACCTCTTTCATACTACACACTTGCACTCTTCCACCTGTCCGCTAATTCATCTAATTTTATGACTATTATCAAAGCCATCTCCTTTAACAGGGGGATGCAGTCTTGCTGCATGTGTCAAACCCTTCAAAGTCTCAAACTATCTCCTACCTTATGGGTGTCGCAGCTTGTCCCACATCCTACCACTTACCCACTCATTTGTTGATGCCGGAAGGATGGAACTTTCACCCATATATAAAAAATGGAAATACAACTATCGTTTTAATTATAAAGTACCTTTTTTCATCTTCCAAACAATCGGGCTTGAGAGTGTTACCAAAAGATCAGTATTTTCCCCTGTGTTTAACTATCAACTGACTTTTCTTATTGACCATAAACTGTCCCTATGTCACTACATGGTCACGTGTATAACTCCGGTTAACAACAATAACAACAACGACAAATTTCTAATCATGATCCCTGCCTACATCCAGAAGTTATCAATTCGAAAAATAGTCGTAAAATGTCCGGAACCATGTAAAAGTCAGAATTGTCAATCAGAAAACCGTCTTGCAAAGAAAAGCAAATTAAGGGTGGCTAATGAGCGACCACTGGTCAAGCGGTACTTCAGTCGGCGTGGCATATGAACTGGCCGACATCCCTGGCCATTGTGGGCTAATCAGCACTTGTAAGGTATAGGTACCAGGGGTGGATAAACTGATCGTCAGAACGGTGACACCGGGGTTAGGTTGATCAGGGTTACCAGGAGGCGTCGCTGGGTCTGTTGAGAACCGCTGAGCCGCCATCGTCGTGAAGACAGCTCCAGTAGGCGGATTCAACAATTGTACCAAGGTTGTCTGTGAGCCGATTTGCAGAGTAGCTGCCAAACCATCACTAGATATGTTCACTGTAGCGTTGGTATGAGCTCGCCACATCACAGATGCCTGAACATTAATCTCGTCCTGGACGAGAACTTGTTTGCGTTGGTTAATCAAGTGTATGCCTCGTTTGATAGACGTGCTAACATATATCTCAGCAAAACTAGCGAATATGAAGAAAACAGAAACGTACGCATTGAAATAGGCACTTGAGATATCAGCAATGAAGTACGCCGTCGATCCACTAGGCACATCAAAGACAGTACTAGAGCCTTGCGTCGTTCCTGTAGAGTTGAAGTTGGCAACAGGAGCCGCAAGAACATTCTGATTCTGCTTATTGACAAGAATCGTGTTCTGGCCCTCGGTCATCTTTCTGTAATACAGCCACCTTTGACTGTCCTGATTATCATTAGAAAAATAACCCTCCGCATTGTAGTTTCCATCCCCAAGTTCCCCAAACCACCGAGTGCCAAGAGCATCTACAACGAAATCACCACAATCCAAATCGTTGTGAGTTTGATGACCTTGGAGGGTTCCGGCCTTAACACCGACAAAAAGCGCATTTTCGTCAGTCCAGCTAGACCTCATTGAGGCCCACTGATCAGTGTTATTGTTGAAGTAATGATCTAGAGCCAAACCATCCCAGAACGCGCCAGAAAGATTTGGATCGTACCAGAACATGCTCCAAGGCTCAGGAGCATCGAACTGATCACGCTGAAAGAGTGCGAATTGTGGCTGGTTGAATTGTTGGGCATAGAACAGCAAGGAATTGGCAGTCGCAGTGAATTTGTTTGGACCTGTATCTCCATAGTTGAAGAGTGAACCAGGGCCAGTGGAATACATATGGAACAATCCCGTCTTGTAGAGATCGGCATTGGTGCTCAACATCCCGAAAGTTGAACCAGCAGCGGATAGAAGAGAAGCCGCCATTTCTGAAAGTCCGGTTTGGCCGAAGTACCAGTAATCATTAGTCTCTGACCATGTGCCATCACTTGAGGTAGCTAATACGCAATTCTGAAGGGCATTCTGGACTGTCAGACTTAGAAGCTGCTCCGCAACTCCTGTGGTATCATCGCCTAGAATTGCGAGGGCACCCATGGTAAGTCCGTTATTGCAAACACAGTTCCAATTCCCTTCCGTAGCATTTGTCCACCATCCAAAGTATAATGGATCGTTTGCAGGATCGTATGCGATAATGCCATTATTGAGACCATATTCCAACAAAGTAAACATGATAGACTCCTTCTGCTCCGGGGTCCACTGGTCATACATCCAATCGTAGGCGACGGCATACGCTACGGAGAGTTCGGCGGTGTCAAGGAAATGAACAGGGTTCCATTTAGTATAGTTTCCAGGGCCAAATCCGCCGGTACTATTACCCGCAGCATTCTACGATGGACCAAGGTGAGGTGGAGAATTTAACTACTTCATGACGGAAACGCACCTGCAACTCTGACCATGCTCTATCTACCCACATAGTATTGTTTGTCACGCGGTACGCATAAGAGAATGCTTTGATGCGCATTTTGATCTGACGAGCAATATCCAAGATACCATTACCGCCATCGTAGAAGTATGCAACGGGTGGCGCATTGTAATATTGGGTAGCATTGTTGAATATAGAATCGTTCCAGGATTTAAGATATGGATCATTCTGGATGAGCTGAGGGAGAGCTTCCCACTTGTAAGCGGGAGCGATGAGGCGAGGACGATCCGAACGAAGAGACGTCGGGCTAGGGTTAGAAGGTTGAAATGGATCCTGCGGCCAGGCATACGCAGCATTGCTTGTTGAAATGCGTGTGGGAGTAGTGTAGGCAGCGGTATTGGTCTACAAAATGAACTGGGGTCAATAGCCCGTCCGTCAGTTCATACCCAATGTAATTCGGCTCACGGTAGCAGGGTAAATGGGAAGCAAATACTGGCTATCCGTGGACGTGGGGAATACACCAAGCTCATTCTTCACACTAGCAGCCACACTAGCGGCTGCGCTACCGCTGCTGGCTTCAGCGACATCATTGTGGTGACGGCTACCAAGCACACCACCAAGCACAGCGCCGACATAACGACATGGCAAGGGGAATACCAAATTTAATCCAGTTGCTGGTCTGTTTCTTCACCGGAGGCTGGGGAGTAATATATCCCGAGGATTCGTTGTAGTAAGGATCTCCAGAGCCATAGGGCGACTGTCCAGCGTTTATAGAGTTGTAGTCGCGGCCATTGCTGAGAATGGGCCGCTTTAAGAGAACGGGCTAGAGTGATAAAAGAGAGACTAGAAGCAGGCGCAAAGACGAAGCGGAAACGGGTACAGCGGAAAGAGATGAAGTGTTGGAGTTTATGTGCAAAAGAACATTCGTACTCGTCGGACCATCAAATACCTTGCCGGCATCACGGCTGCATCTCAAACAAGCGCAGGTATATACAAAAATACCAATCAGGCCGCATGCTGCAGTCGCAAGGCAAATAAAGCACCTGTGACACCCTAGTGACGCCTCTTCTTAGAAGCGTTACCACAACCGTGACTCACTTCTTACTACACCACCAAAACAGGTAGTGTAATTGATGATATTTGACGAAAAAGTAGAAACAAAGTTTTATTTATGTCTTGCATGAGCCCTGTTGGTTGCTGGCAACAGCCAAAAAAAAAAGATTTTGTAGTGGCCTAGTGAGTGCATCTGCCTGAACAAAAACAAACATTTCTGAGATCTCTGAGAGTCATTAAGAGCCTGTGTGGTAGCTCTAACTTTTGGTTCGGCTAGCGCCCTCAGTTTGGTTAACGCCCATCAAAGTTAGGGTGCTCCAAGCAAAAAAGGTGGTGCTCTAATCATGCCAAATCATGCCAGCTGGTGACGTGAGTCATCCAGAAAGGCAGTGTTGGGCAGAGGGAGTTGGACTCACTGGGACGAAGAATACACTCAGTGATTCCCCTGTAAATAGAACCACTGATAACTGTCTCATAGACCCTGTATATACTATGTCCCTGTTACGATACACAATTTTGGACCTTTAAATTTCATTCTCCTCTATAACTTTCTTCTGTAGTTTTCACACACTGTGCCATGTGGCACTTTCCATTTTGTTCAAACTCCACCTTCTTGCGCTGCGCTGCCTTTCTTTATTTTTAGCTACAAAGTATCTCACACAGTGAAGCTGGTCACAAGGGCTGCACCTTATGACATCATCAGTAACTGCCTTCATCAACTGTATAGTACACATGTACAAACAACCCGTAGTAGTATAAATACCCAATAGATCCAGGAGACTCCTCAGCGAGTCCTTCTGTTGTTTACCTACAACAAACTTGGTTCTATCCAAAGGGTAACCACTCCCCTCACTTCTTTATAGCTTTGTCTGAGTTGTGCGCCAGAGTATACAAACTCTTGGTTGTAACAGTCCCAGCAAAAACCCTCAAGAGTCAAAGCCAGGTGCAAGCCCCCACATACTTGAACTAGTGCCAAAAAGATGCAACAACAACATACTCAGCAAACAAGCAGCAAAGGACGAGGAAAAAATGCCGCACCTTTATCAGCAATTACTGCCACAGCATTGACCAACACCAACAAGAAAGCCAAGTGTTGCTGGCCAGAAAAGGATGTTGTCACCCTTCTTGTGTATGTTCAGGACAACAAAAGGCCCAGTGAAGGGAATTCCTTCAAAAATGTCTTCTGGTCTGGTGCCGAGGCCTTCATGTCTACTCACTCTTTGAAAGGGCCGCCAAAGGGCTGGAGTGCATGTAAATCAAAATGTCCTTATCCATCATTGACATTGGCATTACTTACCTTACATTCATAGCTGAGAAAGGAATATGACTCAGTTTCCTTTCTTATCAACCAGACATCAGCTTTTGCATATTCAAACAAGATGGGGGCTTCCATTGGTCCTGCAAACCAAGAGAGTTGGGACAAATTAGTGGCAATACATCAAGGCTCATCCTACACTAACACTACTTACAGTCATTTCATCAGCAGGTACACTCTGGATGCCCATCTATTAGTTCACACACCCATCCTTCCCCAGTAAGTGCCAAAGTATGGTAAGGGATTTTGTCATATAGTGGTTGGGCGATGTTGAAGGTGGCTAATCCAGCAGAAGTGATGATGGTTGGTGTTTGAGTTAGTTTTTGCTGTCTCTGCTGAATGCTGACAGTTTGTATTGTTCATATCAGCCATCCAACTGTTGAGAAATAAACCTTCCGGCAAAATCTTTGAGCTCCAACCAGACCACTCACCAGCAGGAAAATCTGGATATTGTTACAATACACAATTTTTGGACCTTTAAATTTTATTCTCCACTTTAACTTTCTTTTGTAGTTTTCACACACTATGCCATGTGTCACCTTCTATTTTGTTCAAACTCTACTTTCTCGCGCTGCAATGCCTTTTCTTTATCCTTAGCTACAAGTCTCTCACATAGTGGAGCTGGTCACACGGGCTGTGCACTATGATATCATCGGCCACTGCCTTCATCAACTGTATAGTACACATGTACAAATAATCTGTAGTAGTATAAATACCCCAATAAATCAAGGAGACTCCTCAGTGAGTCCTCCTGTTGTTTACCAACAACTAACTTGGTCCTACCACTAAGGGGTTTATCCACTCCTATTCCTTCATACTCACGTCTCTGAATAGTGCACCAGAGTATCAAAACTTTGGTTGTAACAGACATGCAGCCACAAACACCATCAAAAATGCTTCTCGGCCCCAAATCCAAGCATGGCAGTGATGGTCAACCACATCCTCAAGCAACCAAGTCTGAATCTTGGCCACTAAGCTGATCCAGCACTGATTGCTTCCAGGATCAAACAACAACTCGAGGGGGAGGAAGGAAATTGGCCAGTTAATGTTCTGCAGGGAGTGAGCAACATCTTCAGATTAAAAAATAGACTTACATCTCCATTACTTGACATTCCTACACCTGTATGCCAATCCCTTCTATTAAATGAAAACTTGATTGGGCAACATTTGGGAAATGGGAGTTGGGCCCATGCACCTGTTAGGTGGAGTGACCATTAATTTGAAAGGCTACAAAAAAGGGGGGTGGTGGGGAAATCAATACTATCAGTAAATATCATAAAGCCAAGGAACTCACAGTTTCACCCCAAGTAATGCGCAATGCAGGTACATTGCCAGTAAAATATACTGACAGGTTAAATGGTTGGATCATTAGATTGGACTCATCTTCAACAACAGAGTGGGTGTACAGGATGATTGATTCTGACATAGCGTCAAAGTGGACAGCAAAATGAGAGCGAGAACTCGGACTCTGGGAAAACTCTGGAAAGCCAGATAGATGCTGGCATGTGATCCAATTATGGTTGAATTGATCACAAGTCTTATCAACAACCCACATTAACCACCATCTGATCTCAAGGAATTAAGATGCCCAGGGCCAGCAAAAACAGAATCATCTTAGATTCTCGTGGTGAGTAAAACATGATCTTACTGTTGCAGGGATTAAATAAACATTCATGCAGTATTTGATGTCTCGCCACATCAGACCATAATTGCATGTCTTGCCTTCCCCAAAATGTGTGGGCAGTACCTCACTATGAGGTACTGTCATGTTGCTTCACATATTTCAATGCAAAAACACCAACAAAATGCTACAAAACTTCTTTCCCCTCCTTCCATGTACATCACTAAACAACAACCAAGCCTCCTGTGGCCTTCCATAGCACTACATTACAGTGTCTCAACAAACATTGCTATACTAATCACAATTTCAAGACTCTTGCAACCAATTTGTTGTTCAGTTTACCCTGCCTACATTTTTTGGAAGCTCAGAAGAAGGGCATTTTAAGTTGGGCAAAAGAATTTTCCACAAAAAATGTCCCTACCCTCAGCAGCTTGAAGAATTGCCAAGAACGCATCCACAACATGGTTGGCAATCCAGTTGAAAAGGTGACAGCTCACTGTGGAAATATATTTTATCAAAATTCCATTGGCAAGGCCATTGCAAAGGATTACTCCAACCCCATCACAAAATATTCAATGCAAGATTATCCCATTGATGGTCAAGGAGGGTTGTTGCAGGTTCATAATGGGAGTAAACTACTTTTTGATCTACCACTGGCATTAGTAATGCCTTCTTTGCAAGTAGACAGCCAGATTAATTTTGTTAACAAGTTGCTGCAACAAACTGATGGGGGGTATTCCATCCCCAAAAAGTGTTTTCATTATAGTCAGGTTTTATTGTAGATCCTGAGCCAGTCATTGCCTCAATTTTAACCTTTATATGGATGTTCAAGCATATTTGCACAAAACCAGGTGAATTTTGTAACTTCACAGGTGTGTTCTCATGTATTCTACCAGTGTCTAACATGTCTTGCAGAATCATCACAAACTTATGCAAGCGCTATGCCCAATCCTCTTTGTGAAAAATCTGGTGGAAAAATGGCTGTAACTGTGCCACTTATATAATTCATGGATGATGTCTCTGGCAATATCTCCAAGCAATGGAATAAACACCACATAGTTTACATGTCAAATGCAGCTATGCCTTGGGAGACATTAGATAAAGAATTTTATATCCATTTTGTCTCTTGGTCCCTGCATGCATCCCCAATAGAGTTGAGGAAGGCTGTTCAAGAATCTATCAGGTGGGCTACTAAATTACAAAGGATCTACTTAAACTAATAATAAAACTAAGTGAAACTACAATAGATGTTAGTTTAAGGTGATCTCTAATAAATGTAATGTAACATACCTCAGCCGCTGCCTGAGAGGCTATAGAAACGACTGAGGTATTCCTATACTAAACCCCCTACTACTTATAGTCGAGGTGCTACTCGCTACAGTATAATGACTCCTAGGAGAACAATGGTTACTCCATGGAGTGGTGGCTATGCTCCATGGAGAACAATGGCTGCTTCGGCAGAGACCGGGTTTATCCGGTTTGTCAACTAATGCCCTATTTCTACAGTGAAGTAGAAGAGGCTGTGTTCACTTGGGATTACTAGTACAACAAAGAAGTCATGCTAATGCCATACAACTTATTTGTAACCAGTGACAATCTAATGCATACAGAAGAGTGCCTGCATTTGATCACAACACTTGAAATGCACCAAAAAACCCTGCAAGCCATTCCGGTACATCTGTGCAGCTGCCTACACTACCATCTCCAAGTCAGTCTTACATGCACACATCAGTCTAATATCCTCTCCAGTCACCTTATCCACGTCATTCACCACTAGGTCCACCACTTTGTCTACCCTCAAACATATATCCAAGCCCCTTTGTACCTATGGACCACTGACTTGTCCTACCTATGGACCGCAGAGAACCACAACTACCTCCAAGTCAAGCCATCCAACCTGTGGATGACACATTATCTACAATTCCACCTGTTTATGGATATAATCAATAATTGTAACTATTTATTTACTTGTGTAACACATCCGCCTTTCCAATGCTTTGATCACAGTCAACTCATATTTATAATCTCATTTAGAGCCTTGCGTTGTATCACTAACATTTCTTGTCTAAACATGTCTGTAGTAGTACAAGAATGACTGGTTTACTTTTTACTGTTTTGCAGAAGTAATCTCTAGGGTGAGACAGAGCTAGGAGTGTTGATAGCATTTTGTTTACAGTCTTGTGGTTGCACTCAACACCGACTGTCCCATCAGGCTTAACAGGTTGCACAAATCATGTTTTTGTTGGCTCAGTTCAAGCGTCAACATAGGAACAGATTATCACAGCTCCACACACTCCCTGCTTATCTCGACATCAAGACAACAATGGCTTTTCTCCCGTGTCAACAGTTTCTCCTGCCAGACCGTCTTCTCTGACTCGCCCACGCTTGTTACGCTTGGGATGTGCAAGCCTGGTAACACTGGGTTTTAGATATATAAGTGGTTTCTGATAAGCTCGTTGTGGACGAGTTTGAGACGTATTCTGATGATGAGGGTTTCAACTGATGAATACCAAGTTACACTGTTGAAGCGTACAATCATATTGGAGATAGTAACTATAATACAGGTCTGTATATATAGTGTCTACTTTAGGGTAGGCATTTGTGTTGAACAAACAAGGACGGGTGATACCAAAATAGGCAATGTGTATGGGAAGGTATATGCAGGTAGTGGAGTGTAGCTACTTGTGAAGGGAAATAAAGTCTATGGTTAAGTACAGTTCGTAACAATGCTCATATTCAAGTGAACTTCAAGTACAACTCATCAATACAAAATATCTCAGAACATTTGGCACAGAGGTTTGCAAACACCATGGGCTGCTGCAAAACAGCTTGGGTGATTTTGTTAAAGTGTGTATTTAAATTTTGGCTTTGCATGCTCATGTCCATGCACACTTATTTAACAGAGTAATGATGTTATGAAAATGTTAGTTGACATCAGGGGATGACTACTCCTGATGGAGGCGGTGACTAAAGGAGAACAATGGGAGAAAGTTAACTGGTAATTCACTCAGTCATTAGTCAGGCATCTTCTATTTCTGTAACATATTTCTGCATAATAAAAATGGCAATATTGTGTTGCTTCCAATAAATTGTCTGATAGTATGATGTGCTCAAATAAATACTTGAATCATGCTAAAAGTATAAGTGACGTATGAATCAAATTATGACCATTCAACAGACTATCCCTGAATCATTTGGCAATACATTGTGAAAAGAACATTGACATATATTATATAGACCTTTTGCATTGATATTTTTCTCAGTGTATAATTGACTGATGCTGCGCCTCGCTTCTATCCTAAAGATATTACTTCCAGAGAATATTATCTTGATCTTACATAATTCACAGCCATTGTTTTATTTATGCAGGCAAACCAATGGGCAGCAGCTTGGAATGACTAACACTGTGAGACTTTGTGGTATTTGGACAAAATTTAGATTACTAACACTGAAATGATATTTATAAAGGCTGATGGCAAAAAAAGGTTTAGGAAAGGTTTTGGCAAATTGGCAGTGTACACGGCCAATTGTTAACGTTATGGCAGAAATAAAGTGAGAAAACAATATCTGGTAGATATCTGGCGGTCCAGAAGTAGCCTGTCCTGCATGTTCCAAATATATAAGTGCTATATTGAATTCAGAACATAACATTGTACCCACAATATATACATGTAAACTTGCAGATACATAGTATATGATAGGCTGTTGATGCACATGTCACTGACATATATCATGAGGATATATAGCAGCTATATATAGGCCTAGTAATGTTCACACCCAGAGTATAGGACTTACTGTGCATGTAGTCTACTATATCTTTCCTCATTTTGGGGTACATATCGTAGGCTCCAAGCTTTCTAACCATTGGCCTAGCGGTACTCCTCTGCCAAAGTCCCTCAAGAAATTGACTCTGCTACAATGCGGCTGAGACAAATATGGGCCCTTAGCCGTTTGCGGAAGAGTGAACCAGAGCAGCCACCTACAAATTTTTGAGCACAACACACTGCTATTTTCCCACATCCTTTTCCTCTCTTACATCAAGTCTCTTCACTTTTTTGCTTGGACTTGGACACAATATTCAATATTGCAGTCAAGCAGACTCATAATGGTGTGCTTACAGAGGGATCTTGCTTATGTAGTTTGCTCAAATATATTAGTTATTGATTTGCTATTTGTTTTTTTGACCATTGACAATGATTGATGGTAACTCAATACAGTTTTATATCTACTGTCATGTCTGTAGTCTATATGTAATAAATATTGCTGCAGATATATGTACTGTATATGTATTAGTGATAGGCTTACCATTTTTGATATGGCTGCTATAATCCATGCAGTTGGCAGTGTAGAGCAAGAATAGCACCCCGTGCTTGCCCTGTGCACCTCATTCATTATTTTCTTTATACTGTAAGACTTTGAACACTCTGAAAAACAGTGTGCTCCAGCCAGAGCGCCAAAACTGTACAGTTTGACATCATCTCCTCCTCCTGCCTGGCTTGGTCTGGATTTCCAGCATTCCTTATCTCATTTAAAGTTTATAACCCTAATAAACTATACAGTACACAGTAACACTGTCTTGGCACATATTCCTGGGCTACAGATGCCCTCAGACACCTTCACATGGTAATCAATGGAGACGTGCCATCTGCAAAAGATGTGTCGCTGACACATGCTCATTGCCTACACCAGCAAAAAAATGTCTTCCCACTTCTGTTTCACATACAGATTATCATTCTATGCACTCATGTACTTTTATAATATAGTCATTAAATCCATAGATAATAACTCTTGTAACAACCAAAGTTTGAATACTCTGGCGCACAACTCAGACAAGCAGAGAGGAGAGTGGAGGAGTGGATAAACTCCTTAGTGGTAGGACCAAGTTAGTTGTGGCTAAACAACAGGAGGACTTGCTGAGGAGTCTCCTTGATCGATTCAGGTTTATATACATATATATACTGTTTGTACATGTGTACTGTACAGTTACTAAGGGTGGTGGCTGATGATCTTGTAGGGTGCAGCCCTTGTGACCAGCTCCACCACGTGAGAGAATTGTATCTAAAACTAAGAAGAAGCAGTGCAGTGTGAGAAAGTGAAAGTCTGGACAAAAGGAAAGTGCCGCCTGGTACAAGTGTGTGAAAAATGAGAACAAAGGTTAAGGAGGAGAACAAAAGTTAAAGGTCCAAAAAGTGTGTATTGTAACAACTTTTGTACATAAGTAACACATAATACATCAGGAAAAACACTTTGGCTATATAGCAGAGGCAATATCATTTATGCTATTATAGCTTTAATAGTACTATAGCATCAGAAAAAACACTTTGACAATATAGCAGAGGCAATACTATTTATACTATTATAGCTCTCATAGTACTATAAGTTTGAGCACACATGTATAATATTATATAGCTAGCTAAGGCATTACAATGGCTCTTATAGCTCTAATAGCCTATATAGCTGTTA